CTGGGAATTCGAGTCGCTGCGGAGGAGCTTGTTTCTCCTAAATGTCTGCTTCATCCGCCACTCAAGGGTATGCAACAGTTGCGCGTGAACAAGCCTATTGCACATTGGGCAATTCCTGCACTCTTCGTGCATGCACTTGAGACGAGAAACCAACATCTGGGACCTTTGAGCCAGTTAGCTTGGGTTGCTACTAACAGGGACTTGGGCTGGCAAAAAGCTTTCTGTCGTGACATTTGCTGCAAAAGGCAGGGATTCAGTCACAGCAGCGTCCACCATTTTCTTCCTTCGCTTGACGGACAGCTACCGGCCTGTGCGGCAGCTTGAAGATGTGCTTTGCATTACATCTGCAGCTTGAAAACGGCATCGCTTGGCGTGCTTGAGCTTGGACTGCCCCGAAAAACCAAGCGTAATGCCGCAAACAGACTGCAGCAGTAACGTGCCTATGCCCAGCAGTACGGCTTGAATGCACAGCCAATCAGGAGCTTTTGGGCTTACCCACGTTGTTCTTGTAGTCGGGCATCAGCCTGGAGCTTCAAATAAACTACGCGTCACGAGTACCATCTTAATTGATATCCGTGATCAAGCCAGCGAACACACGAGGAACTCATGAAACGTTTTCTGAGCCTCTAAGGAAAACAGCGCCACCTTGTCAACCAGTGAAACTACTTGGTTTTCTTGTCCATTTACGTGCACGTGGCATTTGCATTATGGTTTTTAGACTGGCCACACTTGAGGCAACCCGAAACTGCAAACTCTTCGTCCAAGCTTCGGTGCTGCCAAAGCAAAGGCGTAGGTCATCAGGTTGTAGCCTGATCTCTTGCGACTGCTTCAAATATTGTGTTTAGCTTGCTAAAAGCAAGCAAGTTGCCTTCCGCATGCATTTTTATCTGGGAAAAGCTACTGTAGCCGTTTCGCAACTTCACCTAATCAAAGCCGAAGCAAGGGGTGGATGGTAGCCGCGATCAATCTCCAACAAGGACCGTACTACCACCTCCTGGATATTGAACACACCCGGCACGCCCAACTAGGCACTTCAAAGGCACTGCCATCCCAGTCCCTGAAATCTCGAGAGAGCGGGGCGGCAAACCTCCCCAGCCGGACAAACCAACCTCGAGTTGGCCAGTCTCAACAGCAAAGCATGCGTCTGGGTAATTTCGCGGCATGTGGCAAAACAGTCCACCCGGACTCTGGAGGACTCCGGACAGAGCGGAAATCGAACCCCAGCACTGGACAGGCATGGCAAACCCCTGCGGCGTTGACAAGTCTGCAGCGCCCTGGTTCTCTTGGGCATGCAATTTGGCTGGGGATGACATACTTGCGCCTAAGTGGGCGACGGTGGCCTAGAACACATGCCAGCTACTTCACCGCATGCCGCTGCATGAGCAAAGAAAAATAGACCAACTTGGCATTGGCAGGTCAGGTTAAACCACCTCAAAGCAACTGCCTCAGGCGAGTTCTCGCTCAGCTTTGCCATTAAGCTTCTCAATGCAGCTGTGGAGCCTATAAAGTGCACCGCCAACCTCCGCTGACTTGACTGCAAGAAATCGCCACAAGTCGCAAGGATGAAAATTGCTGGACGCATCTGGGCTCAGCTAAGCCCAAGGCCATTCTGCAGAGAATGGACGTGGATTCAATGATCATGCTTCCCATCAAGCATTCCACCAAAACAGGGGGGCCAGCTTGCAACAATCCTGGCTGCAAGATCCGAAAAGAGAACGGCCCCTTCAGCAAGCGAACCTGAAAACGCAGCCTTGCGATTCGACCCTTCCCAAAAAAAAGGAATAAAGGGCGCCACTGGGCAACTGGGGGTACTTTACCCGCAAGGGCCACACGTGCGCGCATCATTCCAGCGACATTTTCCTCCTCGCTGGCTCTGCTGCACTGAGCGCTCAAGCGAGAAGGTGCTTTCGCATCATTCGTCGTCCTCCTCCTCAGAGTCGTCATCCAAAGCGTCCTCCAGGAATTCGATGAACTTCTCCAACACGGTGCTTGGATGGTCCGCGGCAATTCGCTTGCACCTCAGATGGGGGCCGAGTGATGTGCACAAACCAAGCCTCCCTGTTAAGAGAAAATGGCTGAACAGCAGGCATCACCAGTATGGGGCCATTTTGAGCAGCCGCTAGCCGCTGAACCACCAACTTGAAGGGCAACATCCAAGAGATCCCAGCAACTTCGGCCCTTCGCAAGGGCTGGGATCGCAAAAAAATGAAGTTGCTGCAGTACAAGTGAGAAACATGTTGTTTGTTCCGACTCTGAGTTGTCCGCGACTGTAAGCCCGGTTGCTACGATGCAAGGCGCAGTTCTGCAACCGCTGCTGGAAGCAGCTTCTGCTCTGCAAGTTCGGAGTGGTCGCCAATTCAGACAAATATAAAAAAAAAAAAAGAAAGGCTCGAACTGGAGTGTGTACCAAGCAAGGCCAACAAGGGGACTCGTCCCGGGCAATAGGTGCAGCCCATGCGTATTGCTTTGGTTCAACCAAATGTCATGATGCGACCCGAAGCTGCGATGCCACCTATTTTGGCCTTGACGATTGCAAGTAAAAAACCCATGAACCTACGGCTACCTTGTACGTTGCAACTCTGGCTGGTTCTGCATTCACCCCACCCATCTCGAAAATGTCCATCGTCCAATGTGATCAAGGTTTCCACTAGCAAGGGCAAAGTATGAGTAGCCCAAGTGGCAGGGAAAATGCAATGTCATGCCGTCTTAGCGCAGTATGGTCGAATACATTTCCAGCTGCACTTGCCTGCCTGATGCTAAGGACTGCCTTCAACCAATTCGAGCTAAGAGCACCCCATGAGAAGCTCATCGTCTGGAAGCAAGTCAATATCGCTCTCTCGGAGGGCCATGTAACAGCCCACCATAGCAGTGGCTCCTGGTTTGAGCCGTTGGAGCAAAATTCGGTTCATGAACTCATGAGCATCCCCAAGTGGATATAGCACTCAGGTGGGACAATACGAAAGGGATTTGCTTTCTGAGCTCCTAGCACCAAGACCTACTGGCACTGAAACGAAGATACTCAAGTTAGAGGCCATACACTCAGGATCATGATCTCGCCAGTCAATCTGACCATTAGTCGTCCTCCTTGGTGTGGCTTCTGTTGGTGGTGTGCAATGCGAACGCTGGCTTGGCTTTTGAGATTCCGATACAGTGATGAGATGAACGAATGTTGATTGATGCTTAAAGCTTTACTAGTTGACGTGCAAGCAGCAATTTGCCAAAGCAAACGCTAGCAAAGCACTGTAGCTAACCACGAGAGCGGGCGGGCGGGCAGGCAGGCAGGCAGGCAATCAAGCAATCAAGCAAGCATGCAGGGCAGGGCAGGGCAACACAAGCCCAGGCAGGGCAAATGGGTTTGTCTCAAATTAGGGGAACCCTCCAAAAGGTGGCTTGAATTTGGCTGCCCCCTAAATGACTCCCACAAAGGGTACCCCCGAAAAAAGACGCATCTTAGAGATGCCAGCACGACTCGAAGCGGTTTGCAACGCTCCTGCTGCATCGGAGCCCTTGGCTTGCAGCGCCTCTTCCGCTGCCAGCTGTGCAGCTTGGCAAACGCAGTCTGGTCCCAGCATGGGGTCTTCAATCCTTAGTAAGGGGTGGCTAGCTCAAATAGAAAACCCTACAAACTGCAGATTCTTTTTGCTTGCCCTTTAACCAAGAAAAACACCGTGCAGGGTTGCTCCCCTTATGTCTACTTGTTGTCAGTTAACACACCACTTGTTGGGCCAAGTGAACTTCCTTTTCGTGGCAACGTGTTTAAGGGACAAATATGTGGGACAGTTCCTGCTTTAAAGGCAACCAAACGCTTTGGCCAAAAGCCCCCTCTGATGTTGGGGGACAGCCCCCAAAACCCCTCTGATTAAAGACGCCCCTGTCCGGCCCCAAAGTGAATAAACACACCAAACACATTTGTTCAAAATACCAAAGCTAGTGTCAATACTTTTGCCAAGACCACCTCTTTTCATAGTCTCAAAAATTGCCATTCCAGAATCAAACTAAAAAAACAAAAACAAAAAACGGCTAGCCGGAAACAGCAAGTTTCTTAGTTAAGTTTGATTAAGAAAAACAAGGTTTGACAAGCTCCTGAAGGGCACCCCCATTCACGGCTGGCTCCACCTCGAATTTCCACAAACCCCGTAATAACTTCCTGGCCCCCTCCAGCCTGGAAAACAAACAATGCAAGGTCCTGTTACTTTCCTGCTGCCGTCCGATTGGCCAAACAGGGGTTCACACAGCATTGCCGGCCAGGTGCACACTAATCCGAGGCCAGGGCAACCCTCCACAATCCGGCTTTCCAAAACCTTGTCGACCTTGCGGGGGGGAGGGGAGGGTTTACGAATCATGCTCCCCCATTATGGGTGGGTCCTTAAGGCTTTAAGCCGTGCATCGACTGATACAGCTGTTCCAGGATTGACGCCCAGCGTTCCAGGGGAGCTTCGAGCTTCTTCATGACCTGGGTCGGCCTCAAGCCACGGGTCATGCGCTCCAAGCCTAAAATGAGCCTTCTCCAAAATGCGACGCCCAAAGTAACATATAGTGTGTAACGTACATGACTGCCAGCATTGGGGGTGTGCGGCTTGGCTTGTCTTTTCAAGTGGTGGCCGCACCTCCCACGTCAAACAAACTTGTCGGGGTTAGACCGGGCCGCCACGGCCGTGCCAATTCGTTGGGTCAGGAGCTCACAGCATTGACACATTGCTGTTCCAGCCGCAAACCTCCGCAAAACAAATGACACATATCACGAAAGAGGCTCTCAGAAGTTCTGAGCTCGCAAATCCATGCGGAAAACAGCATGAGCACTTTATTCAGGCCAAGGTGCTGAAGCTTGCCGGTGAGATCGCAAGCAGCGCAGGCCTCCTTGAAAATGATCTTGAGAATGCAGCCTGGCGTTTTGACAGCTGCCTTCAAGCCACAGCTGCAATCATACGGATTGGCCCCCAGCCTTGCGTGAACTGGAATGCTTCCCCTTTGTGACTATATTCCTGGCCTAACACTCCTTG